GATCCTCAATCTGCAGAAAGAAATCAAGTGCACGTTACATTTACTTTATGCAGCTTGCAGAACGCGTTTAATGTTTCAATGTAACGGCTGCAGTAACTGACGACTTAATACGTTAACTTGACTGACGTCAAAGTGGTACGGCTAAAATGCTGACGTATATTTCACTCTTCGAGCCGATCCTCCCTTTCCACTTCCCGCGCGAGATATCCCTGTAAGCCAGCCGGCGACCCTTCGGTTGACCTCTATTCTGCACTATCATGCTCTACGACGTGCTCGGCTCCGTAGCGTAGTTTGTAGAAATATTTTTCGCAAAATATTCCCGCTCTCGAAAAATATCTTGAGGATGTATCCGGGATGACTTCCCGGAGAATATTCGCCCGAGACGCTCTCTCGATGGAATATTCTCGCCTCGCGTCGCTACAAAGTTGGCATTACATTATCGATCGTAGATTATTATTTCATTATAAAATATTGACTGGATTTATAACGCGCGCGTTACGCGGAGAAAGTTGAGAAGTATGAAGGAGCTAAGGAGTGGGATAAATTCCACGGTGTTACTACTCGTATTACGCTCATATTTATTTAGCTGCTCGCATCCTTCTTGTGCGTTTGCGCGAGGTGCAATCGATGTAATGGGTATAATGGATCGCGAGTGTGCTACGTATAATGTATGCGCGCACGCCGGTCGTGTCCAATTAATCATTTTCTTTGGCAACGTGTCATAATGAGACCTCTTCTGAATGTATAATTAAAGATTGCGGGCGGGCGCGGGGAAAAAACTTTCGGATACGAAAGGAGCCGTGCCGTAAAGTTCGATCAATCCTTACAAATCTTCAACCGACGCTGAACGCAGGTGCGCAGCTGGCGCAAACACGAGGTTTTCTAATGAAATAAATCTAAGAACGCGTCCCGAGCCGTAAGAAATCAATTAACGCGGACAGCCAGTCTAATAGACTGTCGGACTGTTTTATACAACGTTTGTGAAAACAATATTTTCACAGCATTCTACCGTACGGTGAATTGAAGAGTTCGCATTTATGCAAAATTATAAACTGTCGTAGTTATACGCGTCAACATATGAATCGCCGCGCCAATTTTGGTCCGCAAATTATCGATTATACATTTTGCGATAAAATTCCTAGGCGCGAAGGCGACGGAAGAGGGGCTTTATCGAGTATTTTAAAAGGGAGGAAGAATAATCATCATCATAAATCAGATTCGAAAGAGCGTTCTCGCATTCTAGACGCCGAGGAGGGACGATAAGATAAACCATGCACGTGATTGTCATGCAACACGGATTTTCCACTGTCGCGAACATATGGCCGGTAATACGATGGATTTTAGAGAAGAACTATCACACAGCGCGATTTTATCTAAGCTGTGCGGAATAACTTGTCCTTTAATTTTGCGAACAGATCGATTTGAAGATCGAAATAAAACATTCTCTCTGTTTTTACTTTTTCCCCCTCGAAATAATAAAAGTTTTAAATTAATCTGTAGGAATTGGTGTCGTGCGTGTCAACTTTAATTTTTAGTTTTAAAATAAAATATTGCTGTTTCCGAGAATTATAACGCACGACCGATCACAAGCCTTCGTTTCTAAAATCGCAGCACAATAATTATACGATGTTATTTAGAGTTGACTGAACACTCGAAGCCGCGAAGATAAGATCTCTCGTCCCTTTTCGCAAGGACGCTCTAGTGCTCTTGAAATGTTAATAAAAGTAATCAGCTGACACCATCAGTGAAACTACATTACACAATTTGTGAATGAAGTTCTAATATAAAGAGGAGGCTTTTACACCGACATTGACATTGAATAATTTTATAGTATCCGTACTTCGGTTATTATCGTGCGAATAAATTTGAATTTTCTAAATGCCATTAAGAACTCGTTGGAGCATTAAATAAGTTTTGCATTTTTAAAAACTTATTTAACACGCCTTTGCCTTAATGCGTATTTTATTTCAGTCACCGCGATAAAGCTGCAAGATACAAGTGCAATAAATACTCTGGTATTTACGCTCAAGGCCTCCCGCCTATCGCGATGGCGTAACGTACTTTTTCCCGACCAAAAGTATTATCAGCAACGGAGAGATGTAATTAGCAGATTGCGCGGACTTCAAACTAACGTAAATCTCGCGCCGATAAATCCGGTGCCACTGTCAGATTATTCTATTTCGCTTTAAGCCGCCGTGTACACAGCGTGCTGCATCCCGCGGATTTGATATTTACTGCGGAACTCCGCTGTGTTAGAATAATTCGGACGATTCGTGTGCTCGGCGGATTCGCAGTTGCAACAACTCGCGTACATTATCTTCATTAACCAGTCGCGTGGGTTCCCGATAAGAAGTATTCACGCGTCCGATCGATTAGCGCGACCGAACGTTCTACTGGCCGACTGTTCGCGAACCGAGGGGATCAGCAATCCGTGCTAACTTCCCCATTATTCCCTTGTAATCCCGATTACGGGTCATCTGCATTAATGGTTTATTCCGCGCGGCGCATTAACCCTGCGGAAAGGAGCAACGAACAGCCGAGCGTTGCCGCGCTCGCCCCAAGTTCGGCCTCTCGTCCTCCGATAATTCCTTCGATAATATTGTTTTCGCGCATAATTAACTCCCCCGAGGGGGGCAGCGCGGTGTGCACCGATGCGCGGCGTCCCTCCTGTCGTGAAATTTTCGTCAGGCGTAACCACTTCTGTGAAAACCAATAACCATCGGCACGGTTACGATGACGGCGATGTGCGGCCGCACGAAAATTGCGCACCGCAGGATGAAAGTTATTGCGGGAGACCGGGCGAGGGGACGTGCCTGACGTGTCAGGGAGGGACGGCAGAGTACGAGCGAGCCGCCATCATCCGCCG